CCTGCGGCCCGGGCGGTGACGGCTGCCCGCGGCGAGGAGGCCCGGGCGGGACGAGGAGGAGGAGGGCGCGCCCGCGGGGCTGACCCCGGGCCCCCCAGCGGCCCTTTGATGGCCGGTCCCAGAGGGGCCTTCGCGGGGCACACCTCGGGGAGGGGGACCCCGAGGGCAGGGGGCGAGCCCTCCGCTGGCCGCTGTCCTGGGGGAGGGGATGCGGGCGGGGCCTTTGGAGAAGCAGATGGGTCCCCTCCCGCTGTCGCCCGGCCTGTGACTCAGCCCCCACCCCGTCCATCCCGGGGCGAGGGCCGCCTGGGCACTGGTCAGCGCCCCTGGAGTCCAGCCTTCCGTCCCCTCGCGCGGGTCAGTGGGGTCCCAGGCCCCTGCTGGGCCACCCTCACCACCCCCTCTTCCCCTCCCCCAGGCACAGAGTGGAGAAGGGACAGCGTGCCCCCCGGTGGGGGGAGCCCCACCAAGTGGACAGTCCTCCTCTGGACAGCCAAGCGGGCCTAACTTGGCTCTGACAGTTCTCCACGAGGTAGGTATGAGCCCCTTTCCCAGATTGTGCACGAGCTTGGGGGGGCCGTGGCCCGACGGAGGCGGATCCCCCCCCCCCCCAAACTGGCCAGGCCGGTTCTGGCCCCTCCCCGCAGCCGTGTGCCCGGTGTGCCCGGTCCATCCCGCCCGGCAGGTCTGCTGTCAGCAGTGCGGGGCGGGCAGTGAGGCTCCGGATTTAGCAGCAGCTCGAGGCCCCATCTCGAGTTTCTCTGCCTTTGGAAGTGGTGTCCCTGCTTCTAGAAGCTCGGGGTGCCCAGGCTCCAGCAGGCCCGGGGGGTGTGCCCGGACAGTGCTGAGGGAGGTTCCCCTGACCCCTCCACCCCCTCCAGGAAATTCTCACCATTCCATCCCCGCCCCCAAGATGCCTCTGGAAGAAGCCTGGCCTTGGTTTGAAACCCAGCAGTTGAGACTTGGGTGCAACTGCATATCCTTGTTCTGAGAGCCAGGCTTTACCGGTTCTGCCAAAATGAGACCTGAGCACTCACTCCCCAGACCTGAGGGAGCCTGGAATTACGTGGGGCTAGAAAGCCCACTCCCTGCAGCCATGTGGACTGTCAGGGTTAGGGAGGAAGCCTAGGGCCTGCCCTGCAAACAAGTCCCCAGATGATGCTGATACAACTCACATTGGGGACCCCCTGGGCCAGGTGACACCTGGAGGGGGGGGCTGAAGCCTTGCTCTGTCTCCAGAGCCCCACCCCCACCCCTGTGCTGGCCCTGTGCCTTCACTCTGCTGGGCCATTTGGGTCCAGGTGCCACCAATCCCGCTGTGTCCAGGCCCCCTCCACGCCCACCCGCTGGAGCTCGGGCTCAGCTGCAGGGTTCCTGGGAGGTGCTTGTTCCGTGTGATAGAGGCTTCTGTGACCCTTAGCTAAACCCAAATCCACAGGAATGGAGTTGATTCTAACTCCTAGCACCGCTGTAGCGCTGAGCTGGACCCCCGGTGTCTGAGATGCCTCCTCACTCTCTTCCCTCTTGGGGGCCACTGGTGGGTTAGAACTGACAGCCTTGCGGGACCTCTCCTGGGTGGCACGGTTGTGTCCAGAGCTCACCCGGGAGGACAGGGCCTCCATTACTGTCAGGTTGTTGCTGGGAGAGGCTGCCAGCTCCTCCCCCAAGCTGAGAGCTGAGAGCACGTGGCAGGGCCCCAGGGCAAAGGGGACAGCTGGCCTGGCTCCCTGTGCTGGCCATGTTGGCCGGCCTGCTCCCCTCCTCCTGTGTGTGTTAGTAGCTGGCCTCCCAGAGACACCACTCCCCAGCTCCTCCGGGATGGGGTCATGATTTGGGGTCTCTCCCCAGAGAGCAGAGTGACTCCAAAGGTCAGGAGGCCAGCACAGGCAGAGCCAGAGCAGAGCTCCAGGTGTCTTGAGTTAGAGCCCTCCGCAGGCCCGCACCCCCACCCCAGCTGTCTGGGCTATTTCGGGCGCCCTCCTGTGCCAGCTGTCTGCTGGCATCCCCGCCCAGGCTCTCACTAAGCTGTCTAGAAGAGCGGCCAGCACCGGCTAGTAGGGTGCCCTTCTCACCTCCTGAGCCAGGGGTCCCGGCTTGTCCCTTCGGAGCCTCCCAACTGTCCCCCTTCCTGTGCCCCCCTTCCTGCAGGAGGGTGGGGAGCACTTGGCAGAAGTGGCTGTGGAATTCACTTTCTAATGACCCATTAGTAACCTCCCTTTCTCCCCAGCCCCCCCTGAAGCTGCCCGTTCCCCTGGGGAGGGCCTGCTGGCCACCCACCTGCCTTGCCTGGTCAATGACTGCTCTCTACAGCCCCTCCCACCTGCCTTGGGGCCCAGGCAGGTTCCTCCACTCAGGGCCTCCATTAGGGAGCAATTAGGTGCTAAACTGAGTGAGGTGTGAGTTCTGGAAAACCTGGGTGACCTCCTCCGCCCATGCGCATGCTCCCTCTCCCCCTCCCCCTCTGCTCTCTCACCCTTTGTTCCCTGGGCTCCTGCTGTGGGGGGCTGGCCCTCTGCCATGCTGCCTGTCATTCCTTGTGTGGCCTAGGAGGGGGCGGGGCTGCCCGATCCCTGCCCTCCACCTCAGCCACTGAGAACCTGGGAGGAGTTGGGGGGCTCACCCCCAGCCACTGCCGCTCTCAGTGCATGGATCCCCTTGTCAAGGAGGGGTGGACGCTTATTTTGCCAGTCTTTTTGGGTCAGTCTTGGGAGAGGAGTGAGTCTGGATGCTGGCACTGCCCTGCCCCACCTTCAAAGACTTCGGGCTGAGTCGTGGGGCAGCCAGGGTCAGGCTGGCCACCTCTGGGACCTCACGATAGATTCATGTGCTCAATGAGACGTGGGTGACAGACAGTGTGCCCTCAGGGTCTAATGAGGCACCCAGGAAGGGTCCTTGCTGTCCCCATCCCAACCAGCTGAACCTTTGTCCTGGGTGGATTAGCCGTGGCTGCTCCTGCCGCTGCCCTCTGCCCTCTGCCCTCTGCCCTGCATGTGGGTCTCTGTGGAACACAGTGCATTCACCCCACAGTCGCCACCTGGGTAGCGCCCAGGACTTCCTGTCCATGCTGAGGATGCCAGGCGTCTGGGACATGGCACAGGTGAGGGAGCAGGGACCCAGGGGGAGGGACACAGGCAGTTGGCATTATTCCAGAGTATTTTTAGCTCCAGATCCAGCCCCCACCCCCTCCACCCACAGCATCGGCTCTATGTCCATGGCCACTTTGGTGAGGGACTGAGGCCGAGGCTCCGCGGGCCTGGCCAGGCAGGGGCCAGTGTCCACGGTCCTGGGAAAGCTGTTGCTCGTTTCGTGGTTCCAGGGGTTCCAGTGAGTTTGTTTAGAGCACGCTGTGACCCTTCCTCTCCCAGTTGTGAGTGACACCCCTCCTCATCTCCCTGCTCCCCACTGTGGTCCTCGGAGGGTCAGAACCCAGGGCAGCCGAACAGCAAACTGGTGCCTGCTCGGTGGGTTCTGGTTCTCGGTGGCCCTGCAGAGGCGGGAACGTTCCCCCAGCTGTAACTCTAGAAGTTCCTCCGTGTGCTTCTCTCGAGGAACAGCAGAGGGTTCGGACCGCTGACCTTGCTGGGTAGTAGCCAGCCAGCGGGGAGCTCAGTGGCCGTGAACTCACCCCAAGCCCACTCCTCCCGTCACGCTTTACGTGAGTGAGGGTTCCTGCAGCCTGGCTTACACTCTGAGGTCTCCCCTTGTGGAACCTCACTTGTAATAAGTCTTTGCACTTGGACCCCTCGCCTGTCCTCCTCCACTGGCCAGGGGGCTTCCAGGGCCTGGCTCTGCTGCTCCAGAGATCCAGGATCCTTCCACCCCAACTTACTCCCCAGGCTCTCTGCAACCTGATGGAATTTTCTAGGCCCCCTTGCATTGGCCCAGACTAGAACTCTGGTGGCATAATTAGTATCATGTTGCAGATAGAGAAAGATTAGCAGTTGAAATCCACCAGTCATACCCAGAAAGAAAGATGGGCAGTCTCCTGTTGAGACTTCCAGGGTAGAAACCTGAGGAAGGCTTGCTGTGAGTCTGGCTAGTGACGGTGGAAGGGGGACCTCCAGTGCACGGCAGTTAAATCATGTACAGGCCAACCAAAGCAGAGTTAGAACCCAGCACCTGTCCGAGGGAGATGGGTGTGACAGCCAGCTTCTGTGGAGACCCCACGGCCCCTGAGTCATAACCAAAGTCGGTGGGCTGGGTGGATCTGTTCTGCATGCCCTGCATCTCAGCCTCTACTGAGTCCCCTTGTTGGCTGGCCCTGCCAACCCCAGGCTGTGGGCTCCTGGAGGGCAGGAACACCTTGGCCCCTCAATAAAGATGCATTTAAAAAGGAACAGATGCGTTGCTGTGCATTTGTGGAGGGAGGGGGCAGGTGTTTGACCCAGCAGGTGTGAGGTGGTCAGAGGAGTCTGGGCCTGCCTGGCTTGGACAGCTGTCAGCCAGAGCGCCCATGGGCGGTGGCTGCTGCCCTCCAATGGTCAGGCCCTGCCTTGCACCCTCTGAATACCTTGCTTGGCAGCTAGGGCACTGCCATGCTGGCACTTTGCTCCATCAGGTGACGCTAACCGATCTTTGCTGACAATTTGGAAGTCAAGTCAGCTAGGTGGACGCGAGGATGCGGAATCTGGACTCTTCCTTTCTGAGGACACAGGTTAGGGTCCTGCTGGGAAGCCCAGACTCCAGCCCATCTGCCACGCCTTCCTGCCCTGGCTGGCCCTGACCACTGGTCTGAATAGGGACCCAAGAGTGACCAGGAGGAAGGAGTGGGCTTGCACTGTGTCCAGTAAATTCTGCAGCGCTGATGAGGGCAGAGGGGTGGGGGGAGTCCTGGGGTGAAGACCACGTGGCTATTTCTTGAGTTAGCGGTCTTCCCCCAAAGTGCCTTGTTGACCTCAACTCGGGTCCACCTGTGTTCCCGTGCCCGCTGGCGGGTGGCTCGCTGTCAGTTCGGTTCACGCCTCTGGCCGTGGCGGTAGGAGACCCCAGCCCGCGTTCTTGGGGGCAGCTGGGTGTTGACAGCCGCTCACCTGCGCCCCGAGCGGCCTGCGCACAGACGAGTGGCCGGCAGGGGGCGCCGTGCTCCGCGCTCGCCCCGGAGTGTGGGCGGGGGCAGGTGAGCGGAACCTTAGTTCCCCCCGCTGCACCTCGGCTCGACACAGAGGCGCCCCGAGGGCCAGAGCAGGTGGGCAGGCACGGCCTTCGCGACAGCATCTCCCTGCCTGCCGCTGCCATCCGGGGGAAACTGAGGCCAGACCCCGCCTGGCCCAGATCACCGCCGGGGCGGGGCAAAGCCGGGGCATTTCCCGGGCTCCTCGGACCCTGAGCCCGAGACACAGCCCACCAATCAACGAGCCGGGCGGCCGAGCGGGCCAATCAGAGTCCCCGCCGGAGGAGGAGGCTGCCAATCAGGGGCGCCCGGCGTGTAGCAACGGCAATAGCGGCGTCTGCCGGCGGGGGGCGCGGCGGCGGCGGAGCGTGCGCGTTCGCAGCTGCCTCAGTTTCCCCGAGGCCGAGAGCCGAAGGCCCAGCGCGGGCGGCTGCCGGGCGGAGGCGGTGCCCAGGCTGCGCGGGGCGGGGCTTCCCGGGCGCTGCCACCGCTCCCGGGCACCCGGGGTGTCAGTGCCGCCTGCGCGGGGCGATGGACGCCCCCGGGGCCCTGGCCCCGGCCAGGAAGGAGCTGAAGATCGTGATCGTGGGCGACGGGGGCTGCGGCAAGACCTCGCTGCTCATGGTGTACAGCCAGGGCGCGTTCCCCGAGGTGAGGCCCCGCTGGGGCGCGTCCCGGGGCCACGGGCGCCCCCGGAGGAGCCGCCACCTCCAGCGGCGCCGGGAGCGCGGAGAGCGGGCACCCCAGCTCGGGGCTCGCCTTGGGGGATCGCAGAGCCGAGCGGGGTGAGGGTGCGGAGGGGACCCCGGGCCTCGCCGCCCCCTGAAAGACCTTCTCCGACAGCACTACGCCCCGTCCGTGTTTGAGAAGTACACGGCCAGCGTGATGGTGGGCAGCAAGGAGGTGACTCTGAACCTCTACGACACGGCGGGTGAGTGCGCCTGCGCGCCCAGGGGCCGGGGGTCCCCCTCTCGGGCTTCCCCCGCCGGGGTGTCCCCAGGCTCGGCCTTCGCGGGGTCCCGGGGCGCCTCCCGCGCCTCCGTGCGCCCCTCCGTGATCGGGGACCCCTGGGTGTGTTGAGTGCCCGCATCATCCCGCCGATGGTTCTAGAAGCCCGGGGGCGACACTTGCACTCCGCACGGCTCCTGCCTTTCGCTCCCGTGGCGCTTGGAGGCCCTGAGAACGCGCTTTCTGGGTCTCTGGTTCAGGGGGACAGTGGGGGCAAGGGGGGACCCCGGTTTCTGCCCGGTGTCTCCAGCCCGATGCTTTTTTGCGACGATGCCCAGGCTTTGATGATTGGTGCTGCAGTGTGCTTCCTCCCCCGTTGCTTGGGAGGAAAAGAGCAGACAGTGTTAGAAAATAAAACCCGGAAGGATGGCGTTGGGGGAGCGGTGGCTCGGCCACCTGTAACTCCTGACCCACGGGGGTACCTGCTGATTGCTCCAGAGCCTCCCGCCAGGGCTGGGCAGGGAGAGGACTGTGACCCAGCCCCCCTGGGAAACCTCCTCCGGACTGGGCTCCCCCCTGGGCTGAAGCCACTGGGGGAGCAAAGGTGCCCAGGTGGGGCTCATCAGCCTGTGACTCAGGGTTCAGTGTGTGACCTTCGTGGAATCACGTCCCAGCTGACCCCTCCCTTGTGTGTGCGAGGGGAGGTGTCAGGCCGACTCTATGAGTTGAGCCCAAGTCCAGAGCTGCCCCACCCCTGGGCATAAGGGTTCCCCAGGCCCCCTCCTGCCCCCTAGCTGAGCCAGGCCCTCCCTGGAGGGCTGGGGGGAGTGAGAAGCCCCAGGAATTCCAGAGGGTGTGGCAAGGCAGTAAATGCATTTGGAACACTTCACAGCTTCACCAGTGACCTGTCCCAGAAGGGGCAGCAGTCCAGTAGACCCATTTTATGATGATTGCAGATGGGTCCATTCAGATGTACAACTCTACCCTGCCCAGGGCCCAGGGAGAGCCGGAGGGGGGTTTCTGCCCCTCCTCCGCCCCAGACTGTGCTGGTTCCCCCATCAGACCTCAGCGTGGGGGACCTCATAGCCCAGGGAATGCACCCTCAGACACTGGGACACTGGCATGTGAAGGCTCTGGACAACTCCTAGTGGAAGATACAGGGATCAGAGCTGCTGTGGGTGGAAGTGGGGGCCCCGTCACGGGAGTCGTGTAAGTGTCACCTGCTTGAGGAATCTGTCCACATCCTCCCTGGCTTTAGCCACATGCAATGCAGATAGACAGACAGACGGACCAGGACTTCAGTGGGATTTCCAGGGACTGTTTCATCCTGGGGATTGTCAGGGCCTCTGTCTGTCTGTAATCAGGGCTGACACATTTATGAGGAGTCAGCTCCTACGGACAGTTGCTATGGAATCCGTTCCAACTCACGGGGACCCCAGGAACTAGAGAGGTTTTCTGCTCCCTAAGGTCATGCTTGGGAGGGTGGAGGGCAGGCGCAGGAGGGGAAGGCCCTCCAGGAGGTGGATTGATTCAGTGACTGGGGTAATCGGGATGGGTGTGTCAGAGACAGTGCGATTGGCACAGGACAGAGCGGAGTTTAGGGCTGTTGTACACAGGGTCACTATGAGTCGCAAGCGACTCGACGGCACAGAACAACAAAGGTCATGTTGGCTCTCGTGGCACTGCAGGCTGAGCATTTGGCGGCTAGCCAGTCACTCTGTAGGGAAGGGGCTTCCGTAAAGACCACAGCCTCGGGGACCCTGTGGGGCTCCCCTACTCTGTCCTGGAGGGATGGGAGGGATCAGCCTGTCGCAGGAGCGGGCTCTGATCCTTGTGGGAGTGGACAGGCCTTTGTCCATATAGCGCCACCCGGCCAGTAACCAAAGAGGCTACATATTTATTCCTTCCGAGGACCCCTTGCGAGGGCCACACTGACTCATATCTGTGACCTTGGAGGTCAGGGCAGGAGAGCCCCACGGACTTTCCAAGGCTGAGCTCTCCACAGAGGAGCTGGTGAATCTGAACCGTTGACGATTTAGCTGGAAGTCCAGCCCTTTACCCATTGTGCTGCTGGACTCCTCGCGTGAAGGAAGGGCCGGGCAAACATTACCTGTCATGGTGATTTCTAGGAGTCCTCGAAATTCCAGCCCGAGCCCGTTCTGGACCATATGCCGACCCTGTCCCTTTCTGATGGGGGGACTCTTGTTCTTCACTATGCTGGACTCTTTGGCTGGGGCTTGAGACCCTTGTGAGGTTCTGGGTGGAAGAGGCGGCCTCAGAGAGCTCCTGTGGGGAGCAGGAAATAAGGCTGCCCCTCCCCAGGGTCCCGCTGTGGTCACTCATGGACATTCCTGGTGCATGAGAAAGACGTGGGGAGGCTGGGCCACAGCGTCTGTCCACACGGGCCAGGGCGGTGAGGCTGGGCCACAGCGTCTGTCCACACGGCCGGGGAGGCTGGGCCACGGCGTCTGTCCACACGGGCCACGCCGGCTGCGTGAATGACTCACATCTGAATGTGGGGAGGGTCGTGTGCGAGAAAGGACAGTAGGGAACTTAAAGGTGGACAAGTATATGGAGAACATAGTGGATGACCTGACAGGGAGAGGTGGAAGGGTTCAGGGAAGTGACCGAGCTAGAGAGACGTCTAGAAACGGTTGTTCTAGAAGGCTCTAGACCCTGCCAGCCTGGGCCCAGAGGGACCCATTTACGACTCACTGATGGGACAGAGTGGCCCCTGGACAACTGACTTTGTCCACAGACAGGCCCAGGGGATTGTTCTGGGTGTGTGGGTGCCTGTCTGGCCACTTGTCTCTGTCCTGTGGAAGGAGCTAGAGGGACCAGAGGGGGCAGAGGGCACCAGGGCTCAGGTCTGTGGTGAGGGGCGGGGGCTGTGAACGCCCATCGGTTGGGCCATCACCCGCCAGGCCCTGACACCCTGAGGCAGGAAGTTGTGGTGAAGGCTGACATTTCCCCGGGAGAGGAGAGGTCCAGCTAGAGACAGACTTCGTCTGGGCCTTGGGGTGGTGGGGTCCAGGCTGGGAGGGTCCCAGGGAGGTGGAAAGCAGTGGTCTCCTTTCCTACCTGAAATGAGGCCAGAAGGAAAAGTGGGGGCGGAGAGTTGCCAAGGAGTTGAGGGTAAGAGGATGTGTCCCAGGGTCATAGAAACTGGGGAGCCCTGGAGGCTCTGGGGAGCTGAGCGCATGAGCCAGTCGACTGGGGACTCTCAAGGCCAAGGCCCAGCTCTGTCTGGGGCGGAAACGCAGGTGGGTGGAACCCAGAGGGCTTGTACAAGTGGGTTCCTCTCTGGCGGCAGCTTCCTCTTCTCACACTGCCTGTCCCCTCCCTTGGCCAGGAGCTCGGTCTAGCTGGGAACCACCTGTGTGCCCTCCAGCAGAGCCGGAGGCTGCTGGTAGCCTGAGGACACCCCTTCCCCTCTCAGACCTGCTCTGGGCCTCAGAGACCCCAGACCCCCACAAAGATGGCTGCGGCAGCAAAGTGCCCTCTGACGAAGGAAGTAGCACAACCTGAGGCGAGATCGCACTTCCGCCAGTCCTGCAGGGCCGCCGACCACTGGAGCCTGGGCAGCTCTGAGGGGGCCTGGGCCACGGGCGAGGCCTGGGGGGAAGCCCCAGTGTGGCCACGGGCATGTGATCCAGGCCGGACCTGGGTGTGGCATGACAGGTTGACTGTCTAGCCTTGGTCTTGTGCCTCCTAGGAGATGTTGGGGTGGGTTGATACCAGTGTGATGCCTGTGGCACACCGAAGGAAGCGGGCAGCTTGCTCATAATGCAGTTGGGTTGCATGCTGTCCTTGCTGGGTGCCACTGTTCCTGTCAGGTGGATGACCTCTGGCATTACTGGCTGGTTTTGTCATGCCTCTGTCCCTGGACAAAGGCCACGAGGAGAGGAAGACCCTCAGTGAGGCGGTGACTGGGGCGTGGCCGACGGTGAGGATGGCACAGGGGATGCTGATTGTTGCCGACAGCACCTCACAACAGGCTTAAAATGAGCCACCCTAAAGCAGACACCCCGAGAAAGGCGAGGTGGAAATGGAGCATGTTGGGGGACCCAGGCTCCCCGTGCCAAGAACCTCCTTATACCCTGGAGATTGAGAGCGAGCGTTCAGCCTGAGAGGCAGTAAGAAGTGGACGCCACAGAGCCCCGAGGCCAGGAGAGGCCTACAGCCGAGAGGCGGTTGAGTCCTTTCTTCCCTACAAGCCCTCAACACGGTGCTGATTCAGGGCAGTCACGGCAGTGTGCGTGGAGCGAGGCCACGAGGGGGCTCGGCTCCGGAGGGTCCAGGCTGCGGGAGCCGGCGAGGAGCGCAGTGCCCCGCCAGGGCCCAGCCTTCACTGTCCCTCCCCGTCTCCCTCCTCCGTGAAGTCCTGCAGGTCCCCCTTGGCCCCGTTGTAACAAATGGCATAATTATGGTCCAACTTGGGGGGGTTGTGGAGCAGTGTGGCATGACTGTATGGTTGGGCCCCTAGTTTATGGGTCTCTGGGGGTCAGAGCCCCCTTGCACTGTAGCCTCGCTCCTAGGAAGTCTGTTTTGACCACAGTTAACACAGCAGCCCGTCTGATCTGCCCAGCACTGCCCAGCCCACAAGCCCTTGACCTTTCCCACTCTCTGGGGCTCAGCTATCACCCCCTGTGCAGATGAGGAAACTGAGGCCGGCACCATGCAGTCACGGGATGGGTGGGCCTGACTCACGAGGGAGCAGCGTGTGGGACTCCCCCCCACCCCCCGTCCCCAGTGACAGGTCAGCAGCACTGGGAGGACACAGCCTGGGTCCCCTTCTCACACGGAGATCCCACGAGAAGAGCCGGGCCAGCAGGGGGCAAACCTGGAAGGTGCTGGGGTCTGGCTGCCCCCTGCCTCTCAGAGCCCGTCTTTCCCGGTGCAGATAGCAGTTTTTGCTCACCTGTCTGGGGCCGTGGCCTGAGGGTGAGCACAGCTCCCTGCCTTCTGGGGGCAGGAAGGGGGAGTTGTGGGGTCCCAGCAAGTCCATTTCCATCCAGTTTCCCCTACAATAGAGGACAGTTGTCCCAGAGGCCTCCTTTGGCCTTTATGGGAGCTGCTGGTTCAGGGGACAGCTCAGGATTTGACTGTTGCACCCCCAGAGCAGCTCAGTCCTCCTCCATTTATCAGGCTTCCCCCCAGATGTGTGCCCTTGGGCAACTCACTGCCTCCGTCTGTGCATCTGTGACATGGGGATCCGTGGGGCCAGCCTTGCTAGGTCCCTGTGTGAAAGGCTGAGTTCAGACAGGGCGGGGAGGGCTTCAGCAGGGCCCCCGCACACACCGAGCGGCCCTCACTTAGGGAACTGAGGCACTGCTGATGAGGGATTATCTGGAGGAACCCCCATGGTGCAGCGGACTAAGCATCTAGCTGGTAACCACAGGGTTGGCTGTTTGACTCCACCAGTCACTGCGCACACCGAGGCAGCCACCTGTGTAAAGATTACAGTGTGTGGACCCTACCATTTGTGGAAACACCACAGAGGGACCGTGTGTATGTGGACCCAGTGGGAAGCATCCACACCTCATAGATGAGGAAATGGGCCCAGAGCTTAGTTCCTGGCTGTGAAGTCTGTGAGGGCTTCCTGGAGGAACTGGCACTTGTGCAGAGGCTGGCCAGACGGCTGACGTTGGCACTGTGGACGGAGTTGGCATGCCAGCCTGACCTTGGCCAGTACTTTCCTGGGCTCTTAAGGTGACAAACTCGACTTTCCCTGCCCTGCTCACCAGCCTGAACTCAGGGCACAAATGTGAAATGCCCTTGGAAAGGGCTGCGTCATCTGCACAGCATACTTTCAGCCTGCTGGGACATGTGGCCACCTCCTGTGGGCTCTGTCCTTCCAGGTGGCTGGCTCCCAGCTCTGTGCTGGGCCACAAGGATCAGTTATGGCTGACGTGCCCAGGAAGGAAAACAGGACCGCAGTGGGGCGGGGAGGGGGGGGACCAGGACGGGGAACCAGGGCCAGGAAGTCCCTTGAAGGTGACATTTCTGCAGACACGTGGAGTTGGGAGTGGGCCGTGTGGCTTCACGCAGACGTCCTCCACTGACTGCCACAGCCCAGCCCCAGCCTTCCCCAACACACCTGGGCTTCACACTCAGGTTCTGTATGTGAGCTGCCCTGGCACAGCTGGGGCCCTCGTCGGCCCTTGTCTCTGCTGTCTCGGGCAGGAACAAAACCCCCACCGAGCATTAGCTTTCCACAGGTTTCAAGCCTCTGCCCAAGCAGACCTGCACATCTTTCTCTTGTGGGCGCCTGGGGGGGTTCAGAATGCCGCCCTTTTGATTGGCAGCCCCGCACTCAATCCTCTGCACCACCAGCCCTGTGCTGCCACCCCTGAGGCTCTCAGTTCGAATCTACCACTGCTCTGCTGGAGCAAGCAAGATGGGCAGTCTCTGAAAACCCACTGGAGGGTCAGCTAGGAGCCAGTTCCAGCCAGAGGACACACGCCACCCCCTCTGGGGAGATGGTGGGGTCCACACACTTAAGTGTCAGTGCTGGTCCCCAGGTCCAGACCTGTGTTAGGATGAGCACCCCTGGCTGTGGAGTCAGCACCCGCTCGTGCGTCAGAGTAGAACTGCAGCCACAGGTCTCCAAGGGGTACTTTTTCCTCGATTGCCAGCCCTTTCTTCCAAGGTACCTCAGGGTGGCCTCTGAGTCCAGGCTTCTCATTAGCACCTGAGTGTGTGTCGTAGTTGACCAGAGAAGAAGGGAGGAGAGTGCCCTTGTTGTTTGGAAAAACGCTGACCCATTAAGGGGTGGAGGGCAGGTATCAGCAGTGAGTCAGGGGAACAAGGTGTTGACACAGCGATAAAGCCATTTGGGCAGGAGGTACACACTCCACGATCTTGGACAGGGGCCCCCTTCTCTATTTGCATTTTTTCTGGGAGTCTGGCATTGTTAGCATGAAATGCTCCAGGTCTTCTTAAACCCACCTTCCCTCTAGCCTAGCTTCCAGGCTCTTCAGTGGGTGCCGGAGAGGGGCGGGGACAGATCCTCAAACCCCAGGCGGCCTCACTGGGAAGCTGGCCAGGGAGGTATGGAGCTGGCCAGGGAGGTATGGCTCTGCTCTTTCCAGCAGCCTCCAGCCCCCCCTGCCTCCAGCCCCCCTGCCCCCAGTGTTTGCAAGGATAAAACAAAGCCGGCTCCCTGCCATTGACCCCAGGGCAGACCCAGAGGGCGTCCCAGGCTATAAACCTTTACAGCCACAGACTGCCTCATCCCTCAACCGAGCTGCTGGTGGGTTCAAACCCGACCTTTCAGTTGGCCGCTCAGCAGTTAATCCACTGCGCCACCAGGACTCCTTCCAGTGGAAGAATGGCCTGGGAGAATCCAGCTGCCAGCGTGGCTTTTCTCAGGGATGCCAGAGGCCAGGGCTCTGCCTGGACGTGGCTGTGAACCCGGGGCGCCCCGGGGGTCTGAGTGTGGGGGCAGGGGTTGAACCCAGCCTGTCTGACTCCAAGTTTGCATCTTTATGTCCAGAGTCAGGGCTGCGTCGGCGTCACGACCACAAACGTGTCCCCACATGCCCCTACCCCGTACCCAAGACCCCGCAAGCACCCATCGTGGGCACCCCTGCTTCCTAGTGAGGACCTGAGCCACCTGTTCAGGGACCCCATCTGCTGGTCTGTGCACAGACAGGGTGATGAGATGGATGGATGGGCATCTTCCTGACCCCCACTCCCTCTGGCTCCAGGACAGGAAGACTATGACCGGCTGCGGCCCCTGTCCTACCAGAACACCCACCTTGTGCTCATCTGCTACGACGTCATGAACCCCACCAGTTACGACAACGTCATTGTCAAGGTGAGGTCTCCTAGGGCGGGTGGGACAGGGCAGAGAGGCCAGCCAGGCGGCCCTGACCCTCCCCCCCGC